CCATGAGGGGAGGCACAATTGGCACTCTTTGAATTTCAATTGATTAATTAATATCATATATTTATGATTATTAAGGGAGAGAATCGTGGAAGTTGAGAGATAGAGAGGGGATTTGTTGGATTAAAATAAACAATAACATGTTTTGTTTTACCTTGGGAAAAAAAAAAAATTCATGTTTGTGATGAAACAATGCTAGGAGAGATCAATAATTGATGCATTCTCTTTTTAGCTGGAGGAATCTCCCTTTGTCTCTAGGAGTCTGCTTGGAAAGGGAGAAAGGTAACATGGGAGAGATCTTTTGGTAGGCACAAACCGATCACATAATTCTTCTAGGTTGTGTTAGTTGCGTAAACCAACCAAAGAAATGAGATTATGAACTCATACACATAAGACCATCAAGAACTTTTTGAGATTATTTTATGCATGGTATATAATTAATCTTTATGGAAATTCTTCAAAAGTCATAGCGTTGTCAATCTCTTAATTGTTGAAATCAGTAACTAATCATGCATTAATTGTTTGTGAGACTACGTGAACCATGAATCATGCCTTAGGAGCTACGCAGTCGACATTAATAAGCTCAATAATTGGTGAACTATTGAAGGTTAGATGAATTCAAGCCACAGCTTGGGAGTTGGGGCTGTAATTTGATAACTTCTGTTAGGTTGTATCTGAAGTTAGAAACAAGTTTGAGGCTAGAAAAAAGGCTTCTCATTTACTTAGGCAAAGACTTCCCATCATTCTATATAGAAAAAATTTCATCAGTTTTCATGGCTGTGGTGTGGACCCTTCTTTCTGAAGTCTGTTGTGCTGAAAACTGTTTCAAGGTCTCCACTCTCAGCCATGGAAACCTTGCTTGAAAATAGGGTTAATCACAATCCTACAATCCCCGCATTTTGTTTTCTAGTGTTCTATATACGAATAGGACTGACTATATCAAAAGATTCGAACTTGAAACTTTCAATATGGTCATAAAAACATAATTATTAATGAATACATGGAAAATGCTATTGAGGATAGAAACTATAACTTATTCTAGCTAGGTAAAGTCAGTTTAATGGAAGGTGGTCCTGTTATATCAACAAAAGCATGCCATATGCACAAAAGTAACCAACATTGCATGTGGGTGATTTATGTTACCGCTGCAACTAGTAAACACATTAATTTTTATTTCCAAACTATGTTAATATTAGCAAACTTTTGAAATTTCATTGATGGCTGTACCATATATATCCTGTTTGGCTTATTACTATTTACACTTTTTTTGGGTAAGGTTTTAGGATTGTTTCTGTTCTGATCTCACATTGTCAGTTTTATCAAACGCGTAAGACAGCCCATGTGAAGAAATAAAGTTTTAATAATTCAAAATCCAATAATCAGAATTTAGTCACTGGGAAATAAAACCAGACAAAAAGGAGGCAAAATCATGGAATAGCCTGCCTATTTTTTGCCTATTTTTGTTGTTATATTGACTGCTTTTTTTTCTTTTTTCTTTTTTTATCAATCTCATAAACACATGATTTTTCATTTCCTAGAGCCTTCCTTCCACTTGAATTTAAAAACAATCTAATTATTTTCCTTATGTTTTCCTCCATTTGAAAGAAAAATTTTCCAGAAACTGAACCAAGGCTGGTTGTATCTGTTTTATTAACTTGCTGGAGGGGCGAGTGCAGTTTCCAGGCAAGTAGGTTTTAGTAACAGAACCTTGAACCTACCATGTAAAAATCAGTCTCAAAATTTGAAATCAAGACTTACTTCAAATTTATTTTCATATCTACGTTAACCATTTTAATGAATCCACACATATACCGATTTTTTTTTTAGCTATTGCGAATTGAAAGCAACATTTGACAAATAACAAAAAGGAAAAAAAAAAAAAAAAGATGTATTATGTCTTATGATTGGTCACAGTACCTTTCACTGCCCATGTTAGAACAAAAAGAAAAATTGGGCAAGGTTTCATGATATAATACCTCATGACCAAAGTACAACTGTACGTATATACGCACACAAAAGCGTGTCAGAAGGAATATTACAGAGTTTTTATCGATTAAGGTTATAATTTTTCGTACTTTGTTCATTTAGTGATGAACATATGATTCGTTGCCTAATGCCTGAGATGGACCGAAGACATCATAATCAAGGTTTCCACATGTATATCTTTCCAGAATGCCTGTAAAGCACAGCAAATACAGCTATATATATTCCTTGAAAGAGATTGCTCCAAGTGATGCCAATTTACAGCTAATTAAAAGTACTTACCAATGGTGAAGAAATACTGGCTGAGGGGTGTCCCCAGGAAAAAGGTCTATGAGTTTAATCTGTTTGTGGTGAGAATGGATAAGCTGGTCATTTTGTTTCACCAATTCTCAAAAATATTTCTCTGGGAATAGACAGAAGAATTTGATGTGTTTGCACAGAGCAATTATTGGGAGTTAGGGACCATATCATCACATTGGTTTCCTTGGAAGAAATGAAGGAGACTATGAGCTTCTGTCATGTCAAAATCAAAATACTCAGCCACTCTGCATTTAATTAATCTTATCTTATATGCCCCAACTTTTTCATAAAATAGGATTTCACTGTACTTAGAAACTCGATTGATACCTGATACTAATTGAAATTACTCTTTGTTATATAGTTGTTACTAATCAACCACTTTCTAACCCTTAGAGTCAACTTTTTACCAAACATAGAGCACTTATTCATGATGCCACTGCCAGCGAAACTCGAATTTATTACTAACGAACAGTTGGAGTGTTCAAACTTCAAACCGTTCTACTTAAGCCAACCTTTACGAATGTTAGAAACTTCCAATGGTTAAACCGATATTATGCCATCCCATATATATAAGTGGGCTTCATCCAACTTAAGCAGAGTAGCAGACAACTGTAGCCCAAATTTCTATAAGTGTTTGGGTCTGGAAGACTTGAAGAGGGTTGAGATCATGAACCAGGTGTAAGGATATGGGCCTACACAAAGAAAATCATTCCAAGTTACAACCCATCTGATTATTGTTGAATGTTGATGATGAATTTGAAGTCTTTCTGGGTCTGGGCCTACCCAATGCAATCATGAGTCATGACTTACTTTTTTTACATATTATTAAGTTTAGTTTGATAATATTAATTTATAGTTATAATCATAAGTTTTTTTTATTATTTAACGTCTTAAAAATATATGAAATATATTTTATGTATTTAATATTTATTTTAATTAATATTTTATATATTTTTAAAATAATAAAAAAATAAAATATTAAAAAGTGTTGTAAAACAAACCTTAATTAATTTCTTGTGTGTGTGGATTACCACCATCCCAAAAGGCCCGAAGCTTATTCTGGGTCATACCAGAGACTTCTCCGGATAATTTTAGTGTCAACTTCCCAAATGTTAGCTCCAACATTCTTCTTCGGTCTTCCCAAATTCCAACAAAAAGAAGCAAAGAATTATTCAACTCTAGAAATTTCAAGAGAGCACCCATGCACTAGATATACATACATACCATACCAATATCACAACATTCAAAACCAGACAATATAATTCATATCTGATAACATCTGCAAAGTTTTAGCATGTCTCTCTTACAATCCCTCCTCCACCAAGACAGCCTTCTTGATCGTTTGTGGGGTAATTGCTTCTTGGAAACCACAGATGTCCAAATGGTTAGGAAGGAAACTCCCCGTGCCCACATCTTCCACATAGATCTCCCAGGCCTTGCAAAAGAGGACGTCAAGCTAGAAATTCACGAGGGCAGCAGAGTCCTACACATAACTGCAGAGAGAAAAGAGGAGAGTGCCGATGAGTAAGTAATAAAGTGGCATTGCAGGGAGAGGAAAGTTGGTGCCTTTACAAGGGAGTTCCGGTTGCCAGAGAATGTCAAGGTTGATGAGATTAAGGCTTCAATGCAT